CGCAGAGTAGCTGGGGAGTGGGAAGATGAGAACTGGTGAGTGGGTAGCAGCTGAGAACTGGCGACTGTGTAGTACAACTTTAGTAGTGCGCGGAGTCGCGGGGGAGCTGGAAGATGAGCAGTGGCGACTTGGTAGTACAACAGTAGTATGCAGAGTAGCTGGGGAGTGGGAAGATGAGAACTGGTGAGTGGGTAGTAGCTGAGAACTGGTGACTGTGTAGTACAACCTTAGTATGCGGAGTAGGTGGGGAGCTGGAAGATGAGAACTGGCGACCTGGTAGTACAACTTTAGTACGCAAAGTAGCTGGGGACTGGGAAGATGAGAACTGGCGACTGGGTAGTACAACTTTAGTGTGGAGAGTAGCTGGGAAATGGGAAGAGGAGAACTGGCGAGTGGGTAGTAGCTGCGAACTGGCGACGGTGTAGTATATAACTGTAGTGCGCGGAGTAGCTGGGGAGCTGGAAGATGAGAACTGGCGACTTGGTAGTACAACTAACACGTGCCTTTGACAACAGGCAGTGGAAGCCAGCTTGCTGGCTGACAACAGGCAGTGGAAGCCAGCTTGCTGGCTGCCATTGTCCAGATGGAAAGCCAGCACGTTGGCTACCATCATAGTTGAAGTGGGTAAGCCAGCACGCTGGCTGCCCTTGTTGAGATGGCAAAGCCAGCACGCTGGCTAGCATCATAGTTGAAGTGGGTAAGCCAGCACGCTGGCCGCTATTGTCCAGATGGCAAAGCCAGCATGCTGGCTGCCATCATAGTTGAAGTGTGTATGAGCTAGCACGCTGGCTACCATCATAGTTGAAGTGGGTAAGCCAGCACGCTGGCTAACATCATAGTTGAAGTGGGTAAGCCAGCGTGCTGGCTGCCATCATAGTTGAAGTGGGTAAGCCAGCACGCTGGCTGCCATTGTCCCCTTACCAGCAGCCCAAATGCTCACGACGATGAGCTGGGCTGTCACCGCTTGGCCACCGGTGGGGGGTTTGGGAGGCCGCATCACACACAGACACCCACACACTCCCTCAACTTACACGAACACACACATACGCAGACTCATTTCCACACGGACATAGACACACGCACAGAAACCCACACACTACCTCAACTCACTCGACTTCACACTTCTCACTGCACACTTACCGGATAACTCGCAGTCTGACTTCCTACGTGATGAAAAATGCTTTCGGGCCACTCGTCGTCTAGTTTTTTCACCAGGATCTTTACATTTGGGATCATTTGGGCACTGGTATGGGATGGCAGGTTGCGGGATGGAGTTCATGGTTTGGCCTTTTGCACGTGACCCATGGTCTTTACGGCGAGTGCGCGGCTGTTCTGGCGTCTTTCAACCCATGTGACCCCTGATTGGATCGGGAGCGACCATCTTCGAGGCCAGGTGTTGCACCCACTGTTGCACCCCTATAGAGCGTCGCCCAGGCCCACGGGGCCCACCTCCTTAGAACAGGTATATAGACCCCAAATAGATAGAACAGTAAACACTAAAAATGTCTTGGAAGACCGTGCGAATACTCTTTGGGGACCATTATAGGAATAACAACTGCATCGCTACCAGGAGCAAGAAGCTACGAACGTAGCTCCTGGCCTTACTAGTAACACTACTGTAGGTTGGAGGCCATCGCTACTAACAAGCAGCTACTAGGGTGGACGTAGACCTGGAGGCCCAGCTTCTCGGAGTGTCCAGTCGGCCGACGCGACGTCCCTCGCGTCGAACGTGACGACCGTGACGACAACCGTCGGCGGGTCATATTTGCCAGGAGGGAGATTGACTCCATCGGGCACGTGGATGACACGACATCTGTCCGGGCGCATGGAAGAAGAAAGTACCTCGGTCATGGCGCGACAGTCCAGGACGACTCGGTCGGTGGAGTTTCAACAAGGCCAGACCGCATGCATGGAGCCTTATTATAGTAGATCTTCCCAATGGTAAGGGTGATAATTCGTTTTAGGATGGGTCCCAGGTCCCATGGGTGCGATGATGATCGATGTTTGGGATATGTTGGGTCGCCATTGGATCGTTGGATTCTTGATTTGGGGTGGTAAAAATCCGCACATCAAGTGGCGACAGTACACCAGTGTTTTTCTCCAACCTCTAGACACCACAAGGGAAGACCGGCCAGGCCAGCTTTGAAATCCGTAGCAACGGCATGCAAAAATCAAGTCTCGTGGTATATATCGTGGTTAACTCTTTGTGGGGGAACCTCTAAACTATGACCTTTGGGTTCCATACAATACCTTGCAAAGGATCAGGGATTCTCACTCTATAGGTTGTTATCATAGTCTTTGATACCAAAACACAGAGATTGAGCTCAAGGTTATTATCTTAAGTCTTTGGAACCATGGATCCAGCATCAAGTGCCCCAACAACCTACGCCTTCATACGCCTTCATACGCCTTCAGACCAAGTACCGGGAGCATGGTCTGGCCGGTGGTGCACTTGGCTCGGATGACATCGTCAAAGTCCGGAGCCACCTCGAGCAAGACCCTTTTCGCGAATCATCTGAAGAGGGGTCGATTCACCCTAGGGATCCAGTCGTACCTTCTCAGGTACGGTGAGGACGGAGACACTGTTATGTAGGTGCCAGGAGGGTCCAGTCGTACCTTCTGAGGAGGTACTTGGATCCCTAATGATCCGGGTTCGTACTGTTCACGACCGGGTTGTCCCCTCAATTGATCCACCTGCCGCAAGGGGGTATCATCTTTCCAGCTGGGCCGAAAGCCGCGTGGCTTAGCCAAGCCGAGCCTTTCTTCGTTCGAAGACGAGACTCAAACCGTTTCGGGTGCTGCTCTCGTCGACATCCACGTCCCGACCCGTTCGACTGAGGAGGTCAACCCATGGTTCGGGTCTCCAGGCTTTGACCTACAACGATCGGAAGCCGTGGGGTCTGGCCATGGGTTCTGGGCTTTGTCCGACCGAACCTGACGTTCGACTCGACCCGTCGAAACCGGATCGATGAAAGACTGGTCCAGGGCGAGCCGACCCAGGGGCCATGTGCTGGATCTTCCGAACTCGTGACCGAACTTGATTCCCCGGGTGCGTTCGGTCACTCATCCCCCAGGCCATTCGAGGCCTGTTCGGTCGGTGGGACTTTGGAAGCTCCTGGGTGTCTCCTCATGTGAACGGAGGTACTTGATAGTCGAACGGAGGTGAGTACACACTTCCTGTCCGAAAAGGACGTCCGATGAGCCAAATCTGCCTTGGGGTTGTGGCGTGAGCCAATCTGTTTGTGATGTGGGGCCCAAATCACCTGCTTCACATGCATCCATTTGCGGACGGCTAGAAGCAAACAAACAATCCACACAGCTTGGCTTGGATGCCTCCTCAGGCTGCCTGCTTCAAACTACTATCTATACATCCAAGTTTGACTACACTTAGGTGAGCTGCTCTCAAGCCTGTATCTTCCACAGGGGCCCTGTTTACCGTCTCTACCATCACCACAACAACAACAACAACAGCAAAACCAGCAACAACGGCAACGACTACCAGAAGGACAACACGAGGAAAAAGGAAGAACAACAAAACATACAAGTAGAATCTAGTAAATAAGAAAAATAGTAACACAATGAAGGAACAACGACCAAAAACAACAAAGCTGCCAAATCTGTCGAAAAGCGCTTAATGTCACATAGTGTAACCACTTCTGATTCAACTATCATGGAAGCGTCTCGCCTCTACGCCTGCCTCGCCCTTCCCCGGCACCTTGGCAGTCACACTCCCACCGCAGCCCATATTGTCTAGTGGAAGCTTGAGCCAAAACACCAAAACTCCCCAAAGGCCGGACCTTTTACAACGAAAGACAACAAATACCATCCGATACCGATTCGAAGAAGCTGAGTTGGAATATTGATTTGGACACGCCATGACACACCGGATGGTTCTAAGCTCTGATAGAGATGAACGAAACTGTCCTGTCCAACAAAAATTGCAGGTTTTACTGGGTGAAAGTATCGCTAGCCCCTCTAAAGCTCATGTGGACTCAAAACATGGATATACCCTAAAGGCTACGTACAATTTATTTGGCCAGATGTAGAACTTCATCTAATGGTTCTCCCAGTCAATTGTTGTCCTTCCTTCCCTTCCGCTCTCTGCCTGGGATATCCACGTTTTACGAGGGAAACATTACCAAACAACAGAGTTGATCCCACCCAATGCTGATGGGCGATGAAGATTGGTCAAACATCTTAAAATGTTTTAGACAAGTCTTGGAACATATCAGCGTGGATGGCGCACATTTCACAACTCTTTGATCCCAAGAAACCAAAGACCTTGAGGACTTGTGTTCAAAAGCAGGACTTCAGCCCGGTAAAGTCTTCAAGTTCCTCTCTGGTCTATATGGATGTCTATGGCATATGGCCAGTTTTTGAGTTTGGCTCACAAAACATCTGGCATCCATCGCTTCCATCCGCACCCTGCCTGATCTTTCCTTGGCGCAGCAACGACACCAAGCGCTTGACCTGAAAAAAAAACGTCCGAAGCGCCCTCAGGGAACAAGCCGTCAGGGCCACCCTGACCATTGCGGTCTCATCCAAAAAATAGAACCATCATTTGAGTGTATATTGTAGATCATGGCCCATGGCCCATGGCTGCTGAACCATGGAGACACCCAATGTTTCGCCATTCTTGTTTCCCCAATATTGTTTCCCCATGTCCAGTTTGCACTGGATCCATCGATAAAAAGCCAACATGACAAGGCTCTGGATTGGGTAGTTTGGCCACAAACCTTCAGACAAAGACCACGCAACGAGATCTCAGCTGCGAAGTCTTTTCGGTTGTTTAGCCTCCTGGCTTTGGAAGAGTTAGCTAAATGTTTAAACAATCTAAATATCTATTATGATCTATACTACGTATGTAGTAAGTAAGTATTCCACTGCAATGAATGGTCAGGGTAGGGGCACGGTGGAAACCTACTCCGAAATCTCAACAAAGCCAAAACAAACAACAAACCGCAAAACCCTCAAAAATCTCAAAAGTGGACTGATGAAAAAAGTGGAAGAAACAAATGACTAGTTCTGCTCAAACGACATGAGTCCTCATTTGCCTCCAACAAATACAGCAACAACGGCACCCTGATCATCCAGCTGGGGGTTCATGTGTGCGCTGGCTGTGACAAGAAAAAAACCACAGACTCGAGGACTCGTCTGCTGTGTTTTTGGTCTCCGCCGCCGCTGGCCTTCATGCGCTCCCACTTCGACGGCAAGAACCGGGACTTCGGAGGATGCGCTTTGCCCTCCGGGTGGATGCGTGCCTGACCGGGGACGCACGCGGACGGAGGAAGCGGTGACAGTGTTTTGCGAATCGATGGCGGATTCATGAACTTGAGATGACCACGGTTCACTATAAGAGCTTCTCTATTTATTTTAAGTTCACTCATTGTCTATTAGAATACAGTATATAGTCTAGTATAAGAGTATAGATGTACTGTGGTACTCTTACTTGTGGATCATGAATTGATCATTCCAGTCCAAGTCCCTAGCCCTAAACCCATGCATTGTCCCAGAGTTCTTGCTCAACCAGCTGCAGGAAGGACTGTATCACGAACCCCTTTGGCGTCATATTGATTCTGTGTCTTCCAACGATTTCAGGCTTTGTGATGTTATATAAGTTTGCTGGTGCTTATAAGCACGAGTGGATGAGTCAATAACATGTGTTGGGAACATTTGTTTCTGTGGATAGGTGTACTTGGGTACCAAAATCAGGGGGATTCTATAGTTGTGTCTATCTATCTATCTTAAGTCTTGAAAAAGTGTCTTTTTACTTTTGTGGCACTGAACAAAAAGCGTCCTTTCCTTTCGGGCACTGAAAAAGTGTAATTGTTTTCCTTTTTCTCTCCTATCTAGTGTTTTTTCGACAAACTCATTGCTTGAAGAGTGGCACAACTTTATTTGTTCCAGGCTGATTGTTACTTGGGACACTTAGATTGTGACTAGACAGAGAAATCATAAATTGTTTATATTAATGTTCAGAACCTGATGCTTCGAGAGCATCAGCCCAACAATGCATGGTGCTGAGAGAGCACCAGGACATAGCAATGGCAGGAGCATCAGTGCCACGAAAGTGCTGGTGACCCTGTGACACAATAACAACATTGAATTGTTGATAGAATCTTTCAACCGAAATGACATGCTCAATCTAAATTAGAACAAACATATTTTTAAACCAGAAATCTTACAGATTACCTTTACTTCACATCGTGCTGTTCGCAGGGCCCTGCTGCTCGCCGGGCCCCGCTGCTTCCCACCCGGGGGTCGGTCTAAGCGCCTCGGGGTTCTCGAACTCCACCATCTCCGTGGTATCCGTCGCGAGGCTGGGATACATCCTCTCCCAAACACCACCGATACGTATGGGCCGGTATGGACCAAATCACTTCCATCAAACGACCTGGGTGTGTTCGGGAGTCCAGACCGGATAGGCTGGGTAGTCCAGCGACGGTCCTGGTTGGTTGGATGGTCCTGGTTGGGGTGGTTTTCAGAGGTCCAATCACAGGCGTCTCGTGTCGCCGCGGAGTCATCCTTTTTTGGGGGAGGGGCATGCGGGATCGCGGCATCGTGGGATCGTGGACAAAAACATGTCTTCGTTGAGGGACGGTTTGGCATGTGAGGCGTGTTTTGTTTTATGTATTTTTGGGGGGTAGTTGGGGGGAGTAGTTTGGGGGTTTCGTTTTGGGGAGGGCAGGGACCACATCTGAGCTGGGGAGATGATCGAATGTTATGTGACCTACAGGGAGCAAACCTTCATATCATGTCCCACCCTCTTGGGAGTGCAACCATGTCCTGTCCCCCAATGTGTGTGTTTTCCCAACACTAACGTAGCTGGATTTGAACTTGCTATGCCCCTATGCACAGGAAAAACACCAATCAATACAGTATAGTATGTTGATAGTATGTTGATAGCACAAACATTTAAACTTTATGATTATGCGTGTGTTATAACAAAAACAAAAAGCAACACATTCCGCAACACTTAAAGGAAACGTTACAACACATATGATATGATCCTTCTCAGCAGGTGTGCTTTACTGCTTTACTGCTTCCTTGGACCCAATCTCATCCGTTGTGGTCCAAATCGCCGAAGGGTCTGAGACCAATTAATGTTGAGTTAGCAACATCATGGGATCCTTTAAGGACGAATTGAACACAAACCAGGGGCACCCCAGAGGGCACCCAGGAGACCTCGCGCCCTCAAACCGTGCTATAGCATCAACAAAAACCGTCCCCGTTCACAAGCTTCGGTCCTACCCGGTCCTGCAGTTTCCCTCACATCGTCACACATGAATTCTCAGACTCATATTCTCCACCTCATGAGGTCGCGAAGGTCTTCAGCCAGGGCAGCGTGGACCCCCTACCCGCTCGGCTCTCGGTTAAGGTCGCGAAGGTCTTCAGCGCTTCAGCAGCGTGGACCCCCTACCCGCACGGTCGAGTCCACCCCTGCAAGTTCGGTCCTCTCACGAATCCTTCGGATCACCTCCAAATCGGTCTCCGTCAAGACCACCTGACGTCTTCAGTTTTTTGGAGGGGTCTCGACTCGAGCGCCTACATTGGGTATAATATGACTGACCGGGTTGGCGAGAAGAGCCGGTGCTTTCCGGTCATCCTGAATAGCAAAGAACAGAACAAGTGTTTTGAACATCTTTGATCTAAATCTGCTTGGAAGCTGCAAGTTTTGGTCCTTCTACTTCTGGACCTCTGGATGATTGAATGCTGCAGCATCTGGTCGTCTAATACTTCCTGATGCTTGAATGGTAGTCCTATGTAGTTGTGGTGTCAAAACCGGAAGCCGCAAGCCTTCTAATTTCCCAGGAAGACTTCACTACATGGCGGGTCTAGGTGAGATAGGTGAGGCGTGTGTCTTTCATTTTCAGAGATTTAAGGTCCGAAAATGTCAGCAAGGCCTTTGTGCCAGCCATCTTTTGATGAATCCTTCTCCACGGACTGCGACTCCGAGAAGGATTTCAAACGATCCGAGAAAAACATCGGACCCACAAACATCGACCAAAACTCTGGCAAACCGGCAAACCTCTTTTCTTTAAAATGTTCTCCACAAAAACTGTTCAAACGGTTTCAACCTGTCCAACATCGAACGTCGATGGTCCGCGAGCCGCAAACGCCACTTGATGATAGGTTTGAACGTTTCCACCAAAGTCAGTCCACGACCGGGAGAACCTGCGATGGTCACCCGAACCTCACGCTGGTTCTTATGATCTTTGATCGTGCGCCAGGCATCGGGGTTGTCCTGCAACCATGAAATGCCGTGCGGGACCCTGGTTTTTTTCCCACGGAGAATGAGCAGAATAGACGACCAAACATGGGCACGCGGCACCATGGTGAAACGGCCTCTGGTGAAAGTGACCCAAAGACAAATGAGAGAGCATCAATAATTGGCGTCTTGGAACACGCAGCTGCCCCAAAAATCATCTTAGCCCAAGAAAACTCACATTGACATATCATTCACAAATGGATCCCACCGTTCGTTCCGGAATCAGGAACACTTAGGTTCGAGATCTTCCAGGTTTCTGGACAGGACATAACCGAACGCTTTTTGTCCCTTGATTTTCAGCAACCAACGGCAACTTGGAGCCCCTTGGCATAACAAAATCCGCCCACACCGCTTGCGGTGCAGGGCGTGTTAGGGGCGGGTCAAGCTGGAATCATTGTCATCATCACATCGTAATCAGTTCATATAGCTCTGCTAGGGGGGACCCTTTTTTCGGGGAAAAACGTCTTACGCCTCGAGGGCCATGGGGGAGAGCGTTTTGGAGGTACATTGTTGGATTATTTTTTTGGGGCTTCGTTGCGACATTTCTGCAACAACCCAAACAACCCAAAAAACGGGCACCCACGATGCTTAAAAACCCTCCTGACCAGCAACGCATAACCAGCATTTTTGCAAAAAAACAACGTAGCCTCAACACATGGTCACCAAACGATCAAGCTAGCCTTGACATGATGTAATGTGGACTAACCAAGCGGGGGCAAGGCCACAAAACGGTCGAACTTGGCCGATGGTAAAGCTGCGTCCACACTGTGTCCTCTACACCCTCTGGTCTACCAAAATGCTGCGGCAAACAAGCCATCTCTTTGGACACCACTCCCGACCTCCCCTGTCCACTCCAGCAGTCTTTCCCCAGGCGACCGAAAAAAAAAGAAGGTGTGGGCGGCGGTCGACGCGAAGCGTCAGGAATACCAGCGCCAAACAAATCGAAGTCACATTGACATGATTGAATGCTCTGGGAATCCTGGGTGCATGCAGGCATGAATATATCATTTGTTGAAGAGCTACAATATATGTCGTACTGAAAGAGTCTGCAATGAGCACCAACTGTTGCAAATGAGACTGTCTGCAGCACCTGTCGCAGATGTGCAAACTGCAATGCTGCCAACATGAGGAACTGCCCAAACGATACACTTGCTGGTGGCGATGTCTCAAAACAAGCCCCTCGGGCCCCTCAGTAGAGTCAGGACTAATTCACCATCAGGACTAATTGACTGTATCTATAATATTAATTAGTCCTGACTCTACTTCCAGTCTTGTTTTCTGGAGTGACAAAGTGCATGACATCCCGGGTCAAGAAGCTACAATCACATGATGAATCCTCTATTGTACATTAAACGCTGAAAGGTAGAGATCCATCACTTTGGCTACCAAAAAACAGCCATTGTTCAGAGGTTCGTGCGAAATTTGTCCTTTCTGCCAGCAACCCGATATGCCCCCCAAAACAGCCACATCTTGCTGGTCCTTGCTCTCCAAGAGCGCATCGATTTCACTGGTGGAGAGCGTCCTAGAGACGTTGCTGCTGAAACACCCGGAGACCTCCGACGTCGCCGCGTAGCCTGCGACTGCGCCTGCAGGGCCTGGGGCTAGTACACCAACACTGCAGCTGAACAAACCGGAACAATCAAACATTGAACAAAAACTGTGTAGCTCCGCATTTTCCCCTGAAGCCTGAAGCTGAAGTTCCAGTGGTGGGCTGCAGTTCTTTTTCCTGACCCTTTCCGAGCCTCAAACACTTCGCGCGGTGCTGCACATTATCGGATGATGAAGCTCATGACATTGAAGAGGTTTGGTTCTTGTCAGGGAAGTGTGACATCCCTGCCATCTCCCTGATCTGAAGTCGGACCTAAAAAGCCTGGCCAAAAAAAGCCCGCGTCGCCAGCGTCGAAGCATACGAGCTCCTCATGA